GATTTATATTTTTTGCAGTGTAGGCATGCAGACTGTTTTTACAAACATTTGTGAAAGAATGGGTCGCTCTCAGGAGCTCAGTGAATTCCAGCGTGGAACTGTGATAGGATGCCACCTGTGCAACAAATCCAGTCGTGAAATTTCCTCGTCCTAAATATTCCACAGTCAACTGTCAGCTGTATTATAAGAAAATGGAAGTGTTTGGGAACGACAGCAACTCAGCCACGAAGTGGTAGGCCACGTAAACTGACGGAGCGGGGTCAGCGGATGCTGACGCGCATAGTGCGAAGAGGTCGCCAACTTTCTGCAGAGTCAATCACTACAGACCTCCAAACTTCATGTGGCCTTCAGATTAGCTCAAGAACAGTGCGCAGAGAGCTTCATGGAATGGGTTTCCATGGTCGAGCAGCTGCATCCAAGCCATACATCACCAAGTGCAATGCAAAGCGTCGGATGCGGTGGTGTAAAGCACGCCGCCACTGGACTCTAGAGCAGTGGAGACGCGTTCTCTGGAGTGACGAATCGCGCTTCTCCATCTGGCAATCTGATGGACGGGTCTGGGTTTGGCGGTTGCCAGGAGAACGGTACTTGTCTGACTGCATTGTGCCAAGTGTAAAGTTTGGTGGAGGGGGGATTATGGTGTGGGGTTGTTTTTCAGGAGCTGGGCTTGGCCCCTTAGTTCCAGTGAAAGGAACTCTGAATGCTTCAGCATACCAAGACATTTTGGACAATTCCATGCTCCCAACTTTGTGGGAACAGTTTGGAGCTGGCCCCTTCCTCTTCCAACATGACTGTGCACCAGTGCACAAAGCAAGGTCCATAAAGACATGGATGACAGAGTCTGGTGTGGATGAACTTGACTGGCCTGCACAGAGTCCTGACCTCAACCCGATAGAACACCTTTGGGATGAATTAGAGCGGAGACTGAGAGCCAGGCCTTCTCGTCCAACATCAGTGTGCGACCTCACAAATGCGCTTCTGGAAGAATGGTCAAAAATTCCCATAAACACACTCCTAAACCTTGTGGACAGCCTTCCCAGAAGAGTTGAAGCTGTTCTAGCTGCAAAGGGTGGACCGACGTCATATTGAACCCTATGGATTAGGAACGGGATGTCACTTAAGCTCATATGTGAGTCAAGGCAGGTGAGCAAATACTTTTGGCAATATAGTGTATCTCCGCTAACATACATTTATGAATCACTAGCATAGTGACAGGGACCTGAGGCAAACAACCATTATGCACAAGCTCTGAGCATAAGGAAGCATGTTTACGACAGACATGGTGTTTTCTGTCATGGGAAACATACAGTCTCATTGTTCCTATGAAAAGCAAAATACAAATAAACAACAGAGTGTACATTCATTTCAAGGTCACTGTGCAGTCAACAGAAGCCGACTTCCTACACAGCTATAACTCATCCTTGCAGCAAATTGTTCATAATCCCTTTGGAAACATAACAGTGGAATATAAGATGGTCAGTGATGAATGATATTTTCATGCTGCGGCACAAAATAGTTTATTCCCCCCTTCTGGCAGTGGAGGTAATTACACAGACTTTTATGAGCATGTGAAGTGAATCTGAAGTATCAAGATGTTTTCTTGGTATTTTCTTTATTCATAGATTCACAATATTCCCGAATCATAACATTTAAAGAAATGTGCATTGTTTTCACAATAAATTCAACTTGGAAAAAGTTGAAATTATTTATGAAAAAATATTTTCCCCATATTTTTTTTAATTTATTTAGCATATTTAATATGTTTATCCTCTCTTCATTTGTAACAATTAAGAGCGAGTTTGTAGAATTTTGTGTGTTCTTTATGTTATGTCAGTATTGTACCTGCATTAAACACTATTGAAGAGGTTTCAGTTTGAAGATTCAAGAGAAATTCTCATGGGAGGGTGAAACTAACATTTTTGCTGGAGGAAACTGTTTAAAAAAAAAGCAACAGAATCACAAATCACATTCTAAAATGACATAAACTTACAGATGATTCAAAAAGGGCTGTATCCTGCCTCAAATGCCAGACTAAACCCAGAGGGTTCCCTTAAAGAAACATTTGTATCTAAAAGAGACCAACTTAAGCAAGATTAACTTATTTGCATGTTTTTATAATTCCATTTGGGTCTTCGAGAAACAGTCCAACTGCTAAAGCAATCATCCAGGCATTTCAAGGCAATAAATAATTGTTTTGTTGGTGTCCAGAACGATCTGTTTTACAAACTTCTGTAACATTGTGTCACAATCAATGGCCGCTGCCCTTCACCTAGCAATCCCAGCGGAGCTTTGCCCACTTCATTGTTTGAAGAAGAGCATGTCTGGTTGGCTGGTTTTACTGATGTATTCACTATAAAATGGCTCTTGGTACAGATAAGGTTTTGTTGTTTGTCATTAGATTTCGACTGAGGAAAGCTACATTCCTAAAGCAAATCTGTTACAATGGAGATGTGAGTGGCTTTTATAAATTATGTATTTTTTTTTAGATTTTTAAGTAACAGATGTGGGCCAAACAGAAATGTGCATCGAAGGGGAAGTCTCTATGCTTTTTTGCAAGATTTAATGGTAATTACTGATTGAAAATGCCTCGCCTTTTGAACTCGGTTGAAATAAGGAAAACTTACAAATGCTAATTGTTAGGAATACATTTTATTTTCTGACTTTTTTGTGTCCAATTTTCAATACTGTGTTTGTTTTATCCATCCATTCCTTTTCTTTCGCTTAATCCAGGGCCGGGTCACGGAGGCAGCAGTCTAAGCAAAGATGCCCAGACTTCCCAATCTGCGCACACTTCTTCCAGCTGCTCTGGGGGGACCCTGAGGTGACACCAGGCCAGCATGTCCTGGGCCTTCCACAAGTCCTCCTCCCAATGAGACATGCCTGGAACACCTCCCAAAGGAGGTGACCAAGAGGCATCCGAAACAGATGCCCGAGCAACCTCAGCTGGCTCCTTTCGACGTGGAGGAGCAACGACTCTACTCTGAGCTCCCCCCGGGTAACTGAGCTCCTCACCCGATCTCGAAGGGTGTGCCCTGCCACTCTGCAAAGGAAACTCATTTTGGCCACTTGTATTCGCAATCTTTTCCTTTCGGTCATTACCCAGATGTCATGGCCTTAGGTGAGGGTGGGAACGTAGATTGATCGGTTAATCGAGAGCTTTGCCCCCCGACTCAGCTCCCTCTTTACCACGACAGTCCTATACAGCGACCGCATCACTGCCGATGCTGCATCGATCCGTCTATCAATCTCATGCTCCATCCCTCACTTGTGAACAAGACCCCGAGATACTTAAACTCCTCCAATTGAGACAAGGACTCTCCACCGACCTGAAGAGGGGAGTCTACCTTTCTCCGGTGGAGAACTATGGCCTCAGATTTGGAGTTGCTTATCCTTATACCAGCCACCCTACACTCCGCTGCAAACTGCCCCAGTGCACTTTGGAGGTGATGAGGCCAACAGGACAACATCATCTGCAAACAGCAGAGCTGATATCCTGAGGTTCCCAAACCGGACGCCCTCCTGTTCCTTGCTGCGCCTAGAAATTCTGTCCATAAATGCAATGAACAGAACTGGTGACAAAGGGCAGCCCTGGTGGAGACCAACATGCATCAGGAACATGTCTGACTTACTGCCGGCAATGTGAACCAAGCTCTTAGTGTGGTCATACAGAGAGTAGAGAGCACTTAACAGAGGACCCAATACTCCCAGAGCACCCCCCACCGGGCACCACAAGGGACACGGTCGAAAGCCTTCTCCAGGTCCACAAAACAAATATGGACTGGTTGTGGCGAACTTCCATGAACCGTTGATCACCTAATGAAGGGTATAGAGTTGGTCCAGTGTGCCACGACCGGGACGAAAACTGCATCGTTCGTCCTGGATCCAAGATTCGACTATCGGTCGGACCATCCTCTCCAGCACCCTGGAGTAGATCTTATAGGGGAGTCTGAGGAGTGTGATCCCTCTGTGATTGAAGCACACCCTCCAGTCCCCCTTTTTAAAGAGAGGGACCACCACCCCGGTCTGCCAATCCAGGGGTATTGTCCCCTACCGCCACGTGATATTGCAGAGATGTGTTAGCCAAGAAAGTCCCACAACATTCAGAGACTTAAGGTACTCAGGATGATTCTCATCCACTCCCGGGGCCCTGCCACCGAGAAGCTTTCTAACCACCATGGTTACTTCAGCCTGGCTGATGGGCGACTCCTCCTCTGAGACCTCAGCCTCTGCCTCCTCCTCGGAAGTCGTGGCAATGGGATTGAAGAGATCCTTGAAGTACTCCTTCCACCACCCAACAACATCCCCAGTCAAGGTCAGCAGCTCCCCATCCCGCTGTAAACAGTGTTGGTGAAGAACCACTTCCCCCTCCTAAGGTGGCGGATGGTTTGCCAGAACACTCTCGAGGCCTCTCCGAACTCCTCCCAGACCCGAGTTTTTGCCTCTGTGACCGCAGATCCTTACATGCTAATCATGATGTAATAGATATTGGACAACACAGCAAAATGTGTTTCCTTATAGAGTATAAATGCTGAAGATGGCATGATGGGCAGCTAATGTTCTACACTGATTGTATTGTGTGTCAAACATAATCAGCCCTTAAGGTTTGAACAAGTTTTCAATCATAGTTGTTCGTAATCATTTGATTTGATTTCTGTTTGACTTTAAAGCATTATTACCTTCTAGCCACTAGAGGCACTAGACCTGTAAATTCCAGGTTTAGCACCCTGAAAGAAATTATTTCGAAGCAGATGTCATCAATTAATTTGATGGAATACATATTAATCTAATAAGCTATTTATTGACATTCATTAGTTGGTTATTTGTTTATATCTCTAGTTGTGACACAGTGGCTCTCCTATATCCACCTTGATATGTATGAACTTGTTGTTAAAGAACAATCCATACAAACTTGTATTTCTCTTTTTAAAAGGGGAAAGATAATGGAAAATAAATATGATTACTCTTAAATGCATATTGAAATTTTAAATACTGTAACTTACCAGTTTACGTTGACACCAGGTGCAGATGCCACATAAAGCTACAAGCCAAACGGCACATACTACGACTGCAACAGAGAGCAGGAGTACACTGAGTGACACTGAGCCTGAAAAGAAGAGACAAAGACCAAATAGAAAGAAAGAGACACATAGAGAGCATGTTAGTGCATTCAATAGAACACTGCAGCTTTTAAAGTGCTTATATACAATATGAACATTTTGAAGTGAAATTCATATTAAAGGTATATACAATACTATCTATGGCTCCTTCCTTTTCCATTTATCGTTGTCATCTGGCATCTTTCATCAGTAAGACACAAAAGTAAATGCAGTGCAGGAGAAAAGACATAAAGCCAATGAAACAGCTTCTTGCTCATGTTCCCTGCATGTTTTCAACAGGGGATGCGCACGTCAGGATGAAAAAATATCACGAGGCCAGAAGCCATGCAATTACCAACCTCCGTTCTCTCTCCTCTATCTCTAAATTCCTTTACAAACTTTGTTCCTGTCTTGACAGATGATTTATTCTCCAGAGGGCTCTATTTTCAATTTCTATTTCTTTCAATTACTGCCTCCCAAGCATGACATTCATTCAGTTATTTCCTAAGTAATTCAGAATGCAAAGGCAGAAAAGCAAAACAACAGTGGCAATAAGCATATCACCATCATATTCTTTTCTCCCGAGCACAGTCTATAATTATTTTGAGACACTCTCATCTCGCAAAAGCAGTATTTCTCTAGCACCTTTCAAACTAAGCCTCTTTGGTTTTTGAGTTGGGATTTATCGATTTAGTTATGCTTTGGCCTTGTCTTCTATTTCTGCTTTTTCTGGTAGTGTATTGGATACTTCTTGGAAATATTCTGCTGTTCTGTATTTTGGTGGACTTTTTTATTGTGTCTGGTTAAAATTCTGCTGGTGTTTTTTTTATTTTTTTAATCCACATTTGATCCTACTTTGAGTTTAGCTTCATCTAAGTTTTTGGTCAATATTTTCACTTAGCAGTAGCAAATAAGGAGACTTCACTTTAAGACTTTGACTTGAGTTGCGCTTAAGTTACAAAAAGAAAAATAAACTCCTGACTCATTTTAGACTTAGCCTTAAAGAATAGAGAATTGACTTAGCCCTTAGTTACTCAATGCTTGACCTTAAAGGTATAGTGGAGGATGTTCTATTTCCGGGTGGATCATCAAAATAACTGGTCCTCCTAATTGTCTATTTTTCTAGTGTTATGTTTACATAAGGCCGTCCTTGTGTGTTCATCCCCATTTTCACTTACCGGTCGTGAGTCTGACATAGTGGAAAAATTGCAAAACTTGTTTTGGAAATTAAGCTTGTATAAGTGATGCAAACAAAAACTTTTAAACAGAGCATGGACGAGGAGAAATGGGCTCCTGCATGCTCTCACGTGCGTTTAATAGATGTTCCCTCTCGGTAGCACCTATTATACGTATGTGTACAGGGTTTGGAATGTGCATTTTTTTTTTTTTTTTATTCATGAAAATCCTCCACTATACCTTTTAGGAAACAAATTTGTTAATATCACTCTCCCTTAGTTTATACATAGGTAATGCCTTGCAGTTTGTTTTTATCATAAATTCATTCTTTACGGTAGGTAGCTGCTTTCTTGAGACCTGAGCTTTTTTAACCAATTCATAAAACATATATTTTTGCCTGATTTTTACAGTTGACAGTTTTTAAATGTAATCAAATCTATTTTAATTCTTGTTCACTGGACACATTTTGAGACATAAAAACGCTGACCCGTTGCCTCTTTTTTCATAATTAATTTGACCATATTTTTTATTTTAACACATTACTGTTAAGGGCGATATATTAAGGCAAATCTGTCTTCATTCTCCAAACTGGGCAATAATTCTAGAGAGGGGTGGCTGTAAGCTGTGTTACTAATTAGGAAGCTGAAGAAGGAGCACAACTAGTAGTAATAATTATGTCTTTACACACTTTGACCATATGTGCCAGTAACTGTAGATAGTGCTTTGTAAAAGCTTTAAATATTTGTTGGGAATGCTGAAATTAACTCCTTCAAATTGCTAGCCTGCATGTTTAAACACAAATTTTAACAAATTATCTTTGGTAACTAGCTCCAAATCTAAATTTGATATTCGGTGACTTTATTTCCATCTCCCTAAGATGTAGGTTGTTGTAGAAATGTGTTTAAATTGAAGTGATAGATCCCAACATCCATGAATTATCTGATAAAGAACAAACTGTATGAATCAATGAGGAAAGATGAAAGAGAAACATTTGCTTTGCTTTTGTTTTATTGCAGGAGATTTAAGATTCTGCTTGTTTGTTTTCTCTCTTTGAGCACAAACCAGTGTTTATCCTGAGACCCAGGCGGTTACAAAGCTCCTTATTTCTTACTTGCTGAACTAAAGATGAAATTGTACATATAATGTTAATTGCCACTGGTCAAGAAAATATATGGCACAGGATATGAAATAAGGAAAGGATTTAAAACAAGAACAATACAGAGAAATCTGAATCTGATTAGAGATTTCTTTACACACAACTTTCCTGGCTGTTACCTCTGAAAGACACGCTCCCATGTCCACCTATATAGAGTGAAAGATAAAATCCATATTGCTGCGTGTCCCGGGCTTTGGCCTTGACAGTTTGTTCACCAGCCATACCAACTTCATTTGCATAATCAGATCTAACCTCTGTGAGAGGAATTTAAATAAGTGAAGTTCTCACAAAAGCAGATATAAATGTAAATATCCGAATCCATTATGGAGATGACACATCCAAATACCAGATACAGAGGGAGTTTGAAGTTTATGGTCTTAGACTTGCCTAAATGTATTTTAGCACAGGGTTTAAATCATCCTGCTCTGTTGCTGCTCTGGTGGTAAAATGCACCCTGCTCTAAACATGCTGTCAGTCTTCTGTTTTGTGTTGTTTTTTCCTGACTTTTTGTTGCCTGTAGTGAGGTACATGTATAGAATGGAGACAGCATACTCATTGTAAAAGTTTTCAACATTTGTGATTCCTTCATGTACTTTTTAGTGTTTGTTTGTTTGTCTTATATTCAAGAATGCTGTTGAAGGCTTTGTAAGACAAGGTTCTTTGCAAACAATAATAATAAAAAAAACATTTACTTACCCTAACTTGAGGCCTATTTCACAAAGACTAAATTTAGAATTCCAGAATAAAAGTTAAAGACAGGCTTAACCAGGCTTGGTTTGTTCATCCTGGCTAAATCATAGATTTGTTGTTTTGGCAAACAAAAGATGATCAACTAAATGACTAAAGAGGCTCAAATATACATTTCCTTACCTGAAAGCATCACAATTTAAAATGTTACTTATAATTTTTACTAATGGAGAACTAACTCAAAAATTATAAGTGGAAGCTAGTGTTGTAAAGTGAAGACTTTAAAGGCGATAGATTTTAAGGCTTTGCCTTGAACGCAGGAACTAAATCATAGTTGCATTGTGAATTTCTTCCCTTTTGTGTTACACATTCTGTCAACATTTATACAGAACTTATATAACATGGGCCTATGGGGACCTGGCAGCAGGTCAACACCAAACATATTAATGGGTTACAGACTTGTAGCATCCAGAAAAATGTAGACTAATAAATTAGGTGTCTGTAGAAATATTTTAACCCCTACTAATTTTGGGTGTTAAAAAAGGCTAACATTTATGGCACAGTGGTTCGCCCACAATTCCGAATTTATAGCAGCAGAAAAGCCGGTCCTTGATTAAAAAAAGGAGGCCTTATGAAGGGAGGAAGAGATTTGGACGTCATGGACTGAGCAAGGCAAGTTTGTCTCCATGTTGGTGAAGATGCAGTCAGCATCACAGATCATTTTAAATAATTAGATGTGATTAGGTAATGTAATTCATATAAATTTGCGTATTTTACAGTAGGGCTAACTAGAACTCACTCTTACCTGAACGTCAGAGTTTTTTATTAAACAAAATCACTTGCAAGTGTTCCAGGACGAACACATAAATTGTGTGCAGTCCAGCACACCAATAACATTAGCAAATCCTGCATAAAATAAAAAAATGGAAAGTGGTCCACCTGAATCAAACATTCTTTTGGGATTGAGTATGTTGACTAATTAATATATGTAAAACTGTAGAATCCATAATTAAATGTAGTTAATTCTTCTGCTGCAAGGAATATTTATGAAGATGTGCACACATCTGATTTTTATGCCAAATACACACTTCTGCTGGTACAGAAATTAGTGACTCTGCTAAGATTTTCAGCATCTCATACTGTATTGCATACAGGAACATGCCTCTAGCATAAAATCTTAGCCCAAGACAGATAATCTGTTAAATGTTTTCTGTGCAGTGCTGCATTGGGACCCATGCAGTCTGCACATGTAGTGAATAACATCCCTGGAAAAGTGGTAACAGTCAGTGCAGCTAATTGGGGGAAAAAATTCAAATATGGACACAATAATTTAAAAGAAGATACAGGTTTGGACATAATTTACTAAATTGTAATATACATATTAATGTTTTTCTAAATGTAGGCAATAATAAATACAAAAACATACAAGTAAGAAAAATGGAATCAATGACAAAACTCATTAGTTTCTGATTATTTTGAGTGCTCACTAAACAGATAAGGCACGTTGATTATCTTAGCCTGGCTGTTAGCCTGCTAGGGAGCAGGTTAGCTGCAAAGAATACATTACCATCTTGGTGGCTTAATTAAGCCAAGATAACACGGGGGAAAAAACCAACTTAATCCTTATCTTGTTTTGTGAAATAAGCCTTTGATCTTTTCTGTCTCAGCTTTAGCCTGTATACTTTTTTTGTTTGCTGGTTTTGTTCCATTCATTATCTCACTAGTCAATTTACCTCCTGTACTGCAGCTCTCTATTAACATTCCCAATCCTACCCGTCTGGTTCTTTTAACCTCTTCCCTCTTTCACTTTGCATTTGCATATTACATTTTTCAGTTTATAAAGTTGTCCCGTTTTGGTATGAACTGTTTGGTTTGCTCTGTTGACTTGGCTTTCTAGATATTTTCTCTGTCAGATCATCTGCCCTGTTTTGGTTTCCTGCCCAGTTTTGGACTTTGTCTCTTGGCTGGTCCCCTTTGCACTGTTGGTCT